TATTTACCTATTAAAAAATTAAACCAATTGAAATATATGTATAAGAGCAGGTCATTTTGTGTTTACGTGAACGTACACGATCAAGAAATACAATTATTTGCATATTTTATCAGTGCCATATGTACAGTGCCATATGTGCCATATGTACAGTGCCATATGTGCCATATGACTGTACATATGGCACTGATAAAATATGCAAATAATTGTATTTCTTGATCGTGTACGTTCACGTAAACACAAAATGACCTGCTCTTATACATATATTTCAATTGGTTTAATTTTTTAATATACTAGAATATAATACTTTAAACTGTTGATGAAAATAGAATTAAAAATTTCTTGAAATTTCTTGAAATTTTTAATTGCGTCTTTTTTAATTTTTATGATTTTACTCCTATAATCAAATTTTCAAACTGAAGTTGGAAGCAGAAGATGAGCTCCGATCGAGTCAAAACTTTTCAAATATTATTTTTAAACAAATTCGCATCGCTTCCACCTACGGGCGTTGTAAAATTAAAAATTTTTTTTCTCTACACAAAAGCGCTCCACCCTAATGTATACATAGGTAGATAGTAGTATATAGAGAGGTAGAGACAAAAAGAGTGTGGGAGACAGAGAGTGAAGGAAGAAATAGGAAACGAAATTAGTGCGAGATGCATCACATGTGGGCGTTAAGTTTCGAAGCATGTTTCGTTAAACATTTTCTGGTTTATTTCCTGTTTTCACAATTTAATACATTGTATATACATACATATGTGATAATATTCTAATGATTTGATAATATCGATATTCAATCACTTTCAAGAATTACATTTCTGAAATATATTTATTTCATTTTTTTTCTATTTCTCAATTATATTAACATATAGGAAAAAATAAAAACATAATTACAATCTAAAAAATATTTAAAATAAATGTTATAAGAATGTAACGCAAATGCAGTATAATAAACGTTTTCAATATACCGCTTCTCTCTCTTCACATAACAGATCTATTTCTAAATGTCCTTCTCGTTACTTTATCCTGATGACAGCTAAATTTATAAACATATCATAGTTACCACCAAGGAAATAAACAGAAACTTTAAGAAAAGACAAACATGATATCCTAACATATAACGGCATACAACGCGTGTTCTCGGCGAGGAAAGGACCATAGAAACGTCTGGCTCGATACCGCTCCTACCCAGCGAGTAATTACATTTGCTTTTCAAGCGATTCCATTAAAAAAAGTAACATTTTGTTTTATATATCCGCGTCATTTCCACTTAAATAATAAAAGTATGGAGAGGAAAAAAGGACAGGAAAGAAGAGAATTGACATTTTCTTATAATATCGCCAAGCCACTGATTCGAGATTATCGTGATAACCCTTCTTCGAGGGTCGAGAGCATGTGGGTATGGTTGATTTCATGAACCGAAATTTCCAATTTCGTTCATGCGGCATGTAATCCATGCGTACATGTGACAATGTTTCTGACGTGTTTCAAAAATTGTTCTTAGAAATGGAGGAGTGACACTTCTTTTTCACAGTTTGAACGCTATTAATATAGAATAATATAGATAATGGAATTGTAAGTAATATGCGCGATACACAATACATCGCAGGTATTCGATGAAATTTGAGAAACGTGATTTTAGCGTTTAACTAACGAAAGAGGAACACGGCCCTATTATTTCACTAATAAACTGTATTTTAAAATCGACAAATAATCGGCACGCTGTTTACTGACAGTGAGATAAAAAGATGTACACAATTTACAATAGTTAACTACGCGATCACCTTGTTTATTGCTGATTCCTTTTTCAGTCTAGTTGATTCATTAACACTTATAATTATGTAGTATTGTATTTGTAGAATGTATTGGAAAAAGGATACGATAAATCAGGAAATATAGGAAGACAAAGGTTCGAGATTTCAACGGAGAGAATCAGACGTGCAAAGTTGGACATCGTAGACCACATCCGTCCTATAACATGTATACAGTAAAGAAACGGAAGAAAAAGAATGGGTAAAAAATATAGGTCAAAACGGCCTAAATGTACTAAAGTATATAAAATATATATTACTTATACTTACAAATCTATTATATTCTCAGAACTCGAAAAATCTCAACATTTGTATATCGCAAAAATTTATATATTTATACGAAAATGAGTAGAAATGTTAAGTAAATTGTTTATTTTGCATATTAAGGAACTTGAAATAAATTTAACTGTAAACTGAAATAAATAAAGTGAAATAGAATAGTAAAAATTGTGGGATTATTGTTTCTTCATAGAGGAAGCTTTGTTTTGAGTAAGGCTTCAACCGCGATTTTCTCAAATTATGATATATTTGTAACTTTGATCAACGCAAAATATAACGCAAGGTATTCACGAAGAATTTCTCAGAGTCGATCTCTAACCAACAAACAATATGATTGTTTCAGAAACCTATTAAAATAGAAAATTTTGAAATTTTTCTGGTGGATGAATCAAAACAGATTATGGAAAGTATCAAAACTCGCGGCGTGGTTTATACTCTGCGACAGCTATCGGAGGAGCAGAAAAGGAAGGATGTGATAGCAATCTCAACGGGCTATTTTGCTCGTTGTCTCTGCCATTTCGGAAAAATGTTAGAAATACCCGTAGCTGTAGTAATGCCACAATCAGTAAATCCAAATGAGTTTGTGTACTGTATCGAACGAAGAGCAAAAGTATTCGTCCGTGAGAACTTAAAGAAAGCACACGATTCAGCTGTGCGCATTGCTCGGAGGGATGGATTAGTTTATATAGATGGGTAATTTTCTTTAGCAAAATTTGAATTAAATTAAAGTCAAAGTTGAAAAACAATTACTGTGTAAAGGTATGCATTATCGTTATCGGTGTTTAATAAACCAAAACGTAATTACTATTTGCATTACTTTTATATTTAATATATTTTTGCCATTTTATAATCAATAAAGGAGGAATTAAGTGCAGTTTTAATGTTAATAAAGAATATTAATGATATTATCTGTGTATTTCTGCAGTAAATGGAAACATAAAGTATTATAGAATTGTGTTCAAAGTCAATTAGCTGTCAAATTTGAAATCTAAGAACTCTAAAGTTCAGCTTATATCCGGTGTCCGTGACCAACTAAAAGATGGCGGTAGATTGAGATAAACTCGAAAGAAAAATTATGTATTATTTTGTAAAATAGTTATCAAGTAGTAATAGTTATCAAGTAATAAATAAAAATATTTAAGCGAAGGTGCGCATATACGAGTATATCATAGATGTATATACTTTTCTTTAGTAATTTTTATTAAAGAAACGGAAATAAAAAGAATTGCCGATTGCGTTAAATGCAACTAATCAAGCTCAAAGTTTTCAAGTTCGATACATTCAATTTTTTTCAACTATAAATCCTATATAAAAGATGGTGTGTTAAGTCAATAGTCGAAAATCTCCAAGTATTGTTGTCGCTTCTCTGAGAGGCTGGAGTGGCTTTCTCGCTTGTGCGATACCACATGCTTCAGTCCTGCTATTTGCAGCCGTCAAACCATGCGAAATTTTAGTGAGAGCAAATGGCTCGCGCGAAGCGCGCGGTTGTTATCTAGTATAATTGTAAACAACATTTAAGATTTTTTTATAATAATGTTTTATTATTGTCAGGAGAAATGCTCAAATTTCTTTAATAATTATATTTAATTGTACGACTGAATTATTGAACGATATTTTTCGAATAGAAACGATAATCCAAACATGATCATTGGCCAATCCACCTTGGACTTAGAAATTCTTGAAAGAATACCAGATTTGGATGCAATTTTCCTACCGGTGTCACATGTAGGTTGTGGACTTACACAAGGCATTGCGGCTGCTATCAAAGGAACGAAATCAGATATAACAGTTGTGGTTAGTAAACAAACGCATTTTTGGATAATAGTAAACTATAAAATATTGTTTCCAATTTTGATAATAAAGCATGAAGTGTGTGAAGAAGTTTGTATGAAAATAGAAATATAAAAATAACAGGTACTTAATCTCTCCATATTTAGGGTCTCGAAACTGAAGTGACTTTAATCGAGGAGATTAGAACAAACACGTGTAATTCTGGTGAATTAAATATTGACCCGGAAGAATATGACCCGGAAGAATATGACCCGGAAGAATGGCGTGAAACAGTTAATCCCGACTGGAGTGGTTTTGTAGACGTGATGTGTACGACTAAAAATGTAAATGACATGCACGCCTCTGCGGCTGCAAAGTTTAAAGAACTAATTGAAAAAAACTAATTAAAGAAGACGTAATTAAAGAAGGAGTAACTATAGAAAAACCAATTAAAGAGGAGCTACTTAAAAAACTCGAGGGTCTGAAGAATGCAATACTTTGCATATATACATATATGATATTTCATAAGGACCGCTTAAAAAAATGCAGGTAATTTATTTCATACAAATTGAACTGTTTCCTTTAAAATTTGTTATTTTCGTAGCAGCGTGTTTTATTATTATTGTGAGATTTGTGCCAGTAAACGCACTAATTGGTTTGTATTTAATAATGTAATAATTTAATACCATAATGCTATTGTAATATGATTTTATAACATTACATTTGTTTATGCATACAGAAAGATTGCAATATCTATATATGGCAATATGGACTTTTCTCTTCTTCAAGACATGTATGTATAAAGGTGCTCTCGTATTGCTATGTTCACGCGTAATGTTCTTTGGCGCGTCTTTAATACATAATTTGTCAAGGATACAAGAGAGAACTCTAAACTCTAGCCAGATACATAGTACATATAGTCTGAGCGTCCCATTGAATAAGCTGAAGCTGGTGAAGAGAGAGACAGAGAAGATTTAAGAAGACTTTCTTTCTCTGTCTCACTTTCGTGAGAAGGGAGAATCACTCCTATGTAGTACTGCGCAGGCACGATTCGTTTCTTTACAATGGTGTAAGACAGGGAAAGAAAGTTTTCTTAAAATCTTTCCTCTCTGTCTTCACAAGCTTCAGCTTATTCAATAGGACGCTCAGTCTACATTTACTATGTCTAGTAATATATCTAGCCAACGTGGCAATTATGAGGGTGGAAAAAGTGTTGAAACTCGTATAAATTAAACATATGTCGAAGTCGCGTCAAAGAACATGACGCTTGAACATAGTAACATGAGAGCACTTTTATTCATTGTCTCTCTCAGTTCGACTGGCTTCGCCAATTCAAACAGAGCATCGTAGGTCCATATACATATACCTACAATACTACGTCCATGCTTTCATACCTGGGCCTAAATTCCGTACACGATTACCGACGACCATCGATACGTTAACGACGTTTGCGCAACTTTTCTATCATGTAGAAAAAGCTGCGCAAACGTCGTTAACGTATCGATGGTCGTCGGTAATCGTGTACGGAATTTAGGCCCTGATGACTTGTTTCACAAATGTTAGATTAGTTATCGGAATTTCAATACTATTAATTATTTAAAAATTAATTAGGCTTGTAATTAGGTAAAACTAACTGTTAATTCTGTCGATAAACATTTTGTTAATTTACAAATATGTAATTGTCAAACATGTGCTTTTACAGTATGTAATAAGGATAAGTATGAAAAATAAATAAAAGACATATGCATAGGAAATTGATTTTTTACTAAGTTTTCTTCCTCAACTTGTATACCTCTTGGAGAAACATGGGCGCATTGTTATGTAGCTAAACCGACTATGATGCGGAAGGATTGAATAGTATACATTTAATATACATACACATCACGAATATCGTAAAACAGCACGTCATATATAAATCAGTCATTGTAAAGTAAATCTTGATGTCGATTATTTTATGACGTAAAATTCATCATTTTAATGTCACATTGACGTTTTTGTGATTAACTTGTTCTACTTGGGTTGGGATTAAAGGAAACAGACATTCTGCGTGCTCTACTTGTTAGAGGGAACATCCTGATGTATATAAAAAAAATTACATAACATACGCATAACTACCGCATAAAATTTGTTATATTATATAAAATATACATATAACATACATATACTTACTATGTAACATCTGTTCTATTACATCTATTATCTCTTTGCTAGCATCTATATTCTGTGTTTGTTGAGATCTTTTTTGCTTGACATTAATATTCGATGACTAATCCTCTTATTTATCCTGTAATACACAGAGTTCTAGATCTTTCATAATAGTTATTAAAGACATTGCTATATATGAAAACTCGAACAAAATCGAAAAGAACAGTGAAGTGACTGTATTATAGATCAATACGATAATGGATCAATATAAAATTTATCTTATCTTGTTTGGTAACAAAGTAAACAGTTACGCATATGAGGAAAATAAACATTATATAATATTCTTGGATGAAATTTCGCTTTTTGTTCAAAATATATATATTTCACAAATTACTTTAAAAGAAGTAGTCCAACTGTTCGTCACTCAAATTAAAATCAAACTCTTTTCTACTCCATGTTCTATTCATTCGATAGATAAAAATTCATATAGTTCATCCTCTTATACAACGAATTATTCTACGTCTCTCACTAGTCGTCTTTTCTTAAAATACAACTACCGTTTAGTCCAAGTAAAATAAGCAAGTACTAAACCAACATGAGATGATAACAAATGTCATTACATGTTATCTTGAAATAAACATCCTTCTCTAAAGAGGCTTATCTAATACATGTGTATAAACGCGTGTGTGCGTGTGTGCGTGTGTGTATGTGTGTGTGTGTGTGTTTAAAAAAGTCTATTGATATGATAAACAACTGGTTCTCGGAAAATCAGTTCGCAATGGTCTGTGGACGCTGTTAGTTACAATTAGTCCCCCATTTTTAAAGTTAACACATTTTAACTGTGCTAAATTGTGCTAGGTTTGTGCTAAATTGTGCTCAAATATTAAAACCGTAACATGAAAAATGCAAGAAAATATATTAGGTGTACAAAAAAGTTCTGAGGTTTAGATTTCATACAACCGAAATAACAATTTAAATTTTATATATCATCCCGCTCTTGTGCGGTTTTAAAGCGTTGACATTTGGCCTTCTAAAATGCCATACGGTTTGGCGTTTGATGCACATAATCTCAAAAATCAGTAGTGTTCACGATGGCAATAACAAACGAGCATATTCGATTTTCCATCCACTTCGCGTTTCATCTGAAGAAAAATGCTGCTGAAGCCACTGCAATAATTTGTACTGCATATGGAGAGAACGCTGTAAGTCATACTACATGTAAAAGATGGTATCAAAAATTTCGCCAAGGAGATTTCAGTTTTGAAGATTTTCTCTGTATCTGGTGAGATTAGAAAGGTGTATTGCATTACGAGTTGTTACAACCGGGTGAAACAATCACAGCAGACCGCTACTAACAACAATTGACCAATTTGAGCGATGCATTAGAAGAAAAGAGGCCATTTACTGGCCAAGGGAGTCGTAAAGTGATCTTGCTTCATGACAATGGTCGACCACATGTTGCAAAAGCGACTCAGGACCATATCTTTGCGTTAGGCTGGGAACTTCTCCAGCACGCGGCGTATAGCCCAAACATGGCGCCTTCCGATTACTACCTATTCCGGTCGCTGCAGCATCATTTGGCTGATACACATTTTGTGAGATTTGAAGAGATACGAAAATGCATTGATGACTTATCGCTTCGAAGCCGGTGAGCTTCTATCGTCAAGGAATTTGCAAGCTACCCGAAAGATGGCAAAAGGTCGTTGATACAAACGGGGAATATTTCGCTGATTAATTTTTTTTTGTTTTTGAATGAAGATTGAATTTTACAAAAAAAAGCTCAGAACTTTTTTGTACACCTAATAAAAGAAACGATCTTTTCCTAGTGAGAAATGATTCGTCGATCGATGTCGAAACGATGTCGAATCGACATCGATACCGTCAAATTGACGTCGATTCGACATCATTTCGACATCGATCGACGAATCATTTCTCACTGGGTTAGGTCAGCCCACCACTTTCCGCTTCTTTCAAATTTTTTTTAATGTGCTAGGTTGTGTTAAGCTGTGCTAATATTATGCTAAAGTAATGTTTAAAAAACAATAATAAAAGAAATTTTGATAGAAAATAAAAATCGTTTTTTTTCTATTTTCTTACATTTGTCATATTACAGTTTTAATATTCGAGCACAGTTTAGCATAAACCTAGCACATTTCAGCACAACAGTCAAAATATATTAATTGTAAAATGAGTGCGAAGTAATAAAGAATATAACAGTCAAAACGGATGTTAGTTTCTAAACAATTGTAATTTTTTAAAATTTCCCTCAGCCAGGGTTTAAACCTGGACCTCTCTTTCACTAGGCGGGCGCCGGGCTGAGGTAAATTTTTTTCAATAATTTTTAAAATTAAAATCATTTAGACACTATCCCTCTTGGTTCTTATTTTCTTTATTACTTCGTATTTGTAATTTCACATCAGAGCTTTATGAATTTTATTTGTTTAAAAAATGGAGGACTAACTTCTAACAAAGAGCAACTGAAAATCATGCTGCTGAAACTACTGGTGATCCTACTTGGCTTCGGTTTTGCCGTTCATGCGAGTACAAATGAAGCTGCTCCAAAGGTCAAAACACCTAAAGGAGCAATGAAGGGCTACTACAAGATCTCGCAACATGGTAGGAAGTACGAAGCGTACGAAGGAGTTCCTTACGCGTTACCACCTGTTGGAAAATTGCGATTTAAGGTGCACAATTAGGATTAATATTGACGTACCTAAATATCTGTAAAGCTATTGTATATCTCAAAATGACACTTCTTACGTAATGAAACGAAAGTAGACTTTTAAAATAGATGCCAATAGTTTTTCGAAATTTTAAATAAAAGGTATTCCGTTAATTATATTCCAAATTATGTTTTCATAAAGTTTTTCTAACGTAAAAATATTCGCAAAAATGTTTCAGTTATAAATATTTTCTCATTTTTACTATGCAGCCTCCTCGACCGTTACCAACATGGACTGGCGAGCTATCGGCCACGAAATTCGGTTCCATGTGTCTTCAATACGATCAAGTACCACAAATGCCTCCAGAGAAAGTTGTGGGCGCCGAAGATTGTCTGTATTTAAACATTTACGTACCAGTACAGAATAATTTGAATAATAAAACCGCATTGCCAGTATTATTTTGGATCCATGGCGGTGCGTTCCAATTTGGTAGCGGCATGTTCTATAACCCCAGATATCTAATGGACTATGATGTTATATTTGTTACAATTAACTATCGGCTGGGACCACTGGGTATGTAATATTTGCTGTATAAAATTATTCACTTAAAAAAATATCTTACTAACGCAGGTAGATTTCTAGCCATCGCAGCAAAAACGAATACTTATTTTTTGTATGAAAGTTAGAAAACTGTTAGAAAATTGTTTGTAGCCTACAAAATTTATAGTAGCGACATTCTAGTAATATTTTCTGAAAAATTTAAGTTTTATGACTAAATATTAATCATTCACATTGAATAAAATTAAATTTCGGTACCATAGATAGAATAATATCTTTGTAAGGAAAATAACTGTTCCCAAGAAGCGCCAATGCACATAGAACGTACTTTTAATGCGCGTTTTATTTTATTGGCTTCAAAACAACATTAATTGTGTGTTCAAAATGCGCGTATTTAACATGTTTGGGCATATTTAAGCAAGGATAGGAAAGTTACTGCATTTAAAAAATAACTAGTTACCGTTACTCGTTACAGAATTAAAAAGTAACTAATTACCATTACTCATGTTACCGAATAAAAAAGTAACTAGTTACCGTTACCGTTATTTAAAAAGTAACGATTCGTTCCTTTTTTCGTTACTTTTAATGCCAAAACGAGATAAAAGCCCATACAGCACAAATTGTTACAGAAAGGTTTCAGAAAGATTCCAAAATTATTTCAATATTTCACATTTCATGCTCAACATTTCTGACAGAATTCTGCAATATGTCATATAAAATGATGCAACAGAAATGTTTCAGAAATCTATCCTATGCAATAAATTTGAAAAAGTAATGCGAATATTACAGAAAGATTTTCTCGCTTTTTGAGCGACAACGTTCACATATATGGAACGTTGAAATGCTTGCCGCGCGACAAAAGACGATACGGTAGCTAATCAACTTACAACTTTTGTAAAAGTATAATAAAGCAATGATTGACTACTGCGTCATCTTTTAAAATTTCAAAATATTGAAATAATTTTGAAATCTTTCTGAAACCTTTCTGGAACAATTTGTGCTGTACGGGTACAAGCAGTCGCTTAATGTAAAGCTAACAGAGTTGATAAAAAACCTGCGATAAAGAACCATCCGTTGCGGAAAAACATTTAAAAAACACTTAAAATAACTTAATATGATAAAATAAATTTCTAAAGCATTTGAAATTTATTTTAATAAGAGCTTATTAATCAGCTTGCGCAAAATATTATAAAAAACGTTAACACAAATATTTCAATTAGTCTTCAGTATTATTATTATTTCAAAAAGATTTTAGTAACTTTTTAGCAATATTTCAGAAAAGCTGCAAATTTCTTAGGGCCGATTGTTCTAAGTGTTAGGTAGCTTACCTGATGGTTAAAAAGTATAGTATACGTAACACATACTATATATGCTTTTTAACTATCAGAGGTAAGCTACCTGACACTTGGAAAAACCGGCTTTTAGTAATTTTTCAGAAACCTTTCTATAAAGTTTCAAGTGTAAGAATCGCGGACATTTTACAGTTTCATCACAGCTGTCTCAGAGTTATTGCAGAAACATTTTGCGATATTTCTGAAATATTTCTAAGAGATTTTTATAATCTTACAGAAACCTTTCTGTAAGCTTTCAAGTGTAAGAATCGCGGACATTTTACTGTTGTAGAGCTGTCTCAGAGCTATTGCAGAAACATTTTGCAATATTTATGAAACGTTTCAATCTATCACATGAAATATTTCTGAAATATTTCTGAAAAGTTTTTGTGCTGTATGGGAGATAAGACTAAATAAGAAATGAATTTGTTCCTAAAATACAAGTACAAGGATAGGATTTTGATTATAAATTGTTGGATAAGATTATCGCTATCATCGCTGTATCTCCCATATAGCACGCATGTCTAAAAGACGTCTTTAAGAGGATGCTAAAGTCGTCTGTTTTACCGACACATTCGAATATAGTTTTTGCGCTGCTGAATCTTTTTATTAGTTTTTACGCCTAAAATAATACCAGGATAAGTTGCGGACCGCATAGCAGAACGTTTTTATACTTGAAACACTCGGGTCAGAAGTCTAATGAGAAAGATATTGGTATTTGAAATTTTCAATTTTTTAATCGTGAGCAATTTGAATTTGGCTTTATAAAATTACAAAATTCTTCCACGCGATTACAGTACGCGTAAAGACAAAGCGGGGGGTTCACGACTTTATATAAAAAACGTAGAGAAATTAAAAATATCGCTTTATAAGTAATTGTGGTTAGGCTTCACATACTGATAGGGTAAGCGAACCTATTTCGGAACACTTTTTAAAAAACTTGCTGTATCTTTTACATAAAATCTTCTTTTTTTTATACGTTTACGCGTACTGTAATCGCGTGGAAGAATTTTGTAATTTTATAAAGCCAAATTCAAATTGCTCACGATTAAAAAATCGAAAATTTCAAATATCAATATCTTTCTCATTAGACTTCTGACCCGAGTGTTTCAAGTATAAAAACGTTCTGCTATGCGGTCCGCAACTTATCCTGATATTATTTTAGGCGTAAAAACTAATAAAAAGATTCAGCAGCGCAAAAACTATATTCGAATGTGTCGGTAAAACAGACGACTTTAGGATCCTCTTAAGACATGCGTGCTGTATGGGCTGTATATCGCATACTTGCACCTAGTGAGAAATGATTCATCGATCGATGTGGTTGAGCGTTACAGAAAGACTTTCTTCCTAACATTCGCTAACAGTTCAGATAGAAATTCTGTTTCCGTTATTTAAATTGATTAAATACTAAACATATCCCAGTAAACACCAAGTAACAGTTATATGTATATAACATCAATATTATAATTTCTTACTCAACTAATATAACATGTGTGTTATACTACATTTATATTGTTGATTAGAAAATTATAATATTGATGTTATATAATACCTTATACAGAGTGCTCAGCAACTTCTTGACCGCCGTTCACGGGAAGGTAGAGGGGGCTAAGACAAACAGAAAAGTCCTCCATCATTTTACACTTGGAGGAATAGTTATCGAGATATTGATGTTTAAAAATCACTGTATTAGCCCGACCTACCGGCAAATGTAAGCGCGCGGTGAGATGCGTCCGCCCGCCCATTGGCTACCGCTCGTGGCGGTGCGTGGTGAGAAGTAGGGAGACTTATGAAAAAAGTTGACTGCTGTGAGCAACGCGCCTCCCTACTTTTCATCGCGCCCCGCCTCGAACGGCGGCCGATGGGCGGGCGGATCTCACCGCGCGCTTACATTTGTCAGTAGGTCGGACTAATACGGCGATTTTTTAACATCAATATCTCGATAACTATTCCTCCAAGTGCAAAATGGTAGAGGACTTTTCTGTTTGTCTTAGTCCCCTCTACCTTCCCGTGAACGACGGTCAAAACGTTGCGGAGCACCTTGTATAATAACTGCCACTCGGTGTTTACCAGGATGTAATTTCGCAGTATTGACTATTTATTTTGTATATCTCACATTAGTTTTTTTTTCGTATCTTGAAAGTTATTGCTGCCATTGCAGATCATTTTTTCCAGTATAAAAAATAATAATTTTAATATTAAAAGTTCGTCTAGTAAAGTATTCTGATACAGATATGACTTAATGAGACTCTAGTCAATGTATAAGTTTGTTTTGATCATCTCATACTTTCCACTTTTTTAAAAGTAATTTCCTAAAAATATCAGGTTTTCTCAGCACGGAAGATGAAGTAGTTCCTGGCAATATGGGTCTGAAGGATCAAAGTCTGGCACTTCGCTGGGTATCGGAGAACATCGAATGGTTCGGTGGTGACCCACAGAAAGTGACCTTAGTCGGTTTGAGCGCCGGCGGTGCAAGCGTGCATTATCATTACTTATCGCAAATGAGCGCGGGTCTCTTCCAAGGTATTTTTGTGAGACGATGCAAAAATCAACGCAAAGATTCAACCGTTTCGTCTACAGGGTGTTCCGTAGTGCTCTGACCGCCGTTCACGGGAAGGTAGAGGGGACTAAGCAAACACAGAAAAGTCCTCCCAGAGCACTGCGGAACACCCTGTATATTACGTTAAACTGTTGTACGGGGTATCCTGTTGTTTTCTATGAGTATTATCTTGGGAAGGTAGAACAGATTGAAATAAACAAAAAGTTCCATATCGTATTGCAATATTTGCCATAATATTGGGTGGTTGCATATGCATTTTTGAGCGAAAGAAAAGACAGTGATTTGATAGCAAATCGACGAACTGGTTTATTCAAAGTATTGCCCAGAAGGGATAGCGTGGCGTTATCCGTACGACCCGACGTCGTCGCTTCCACCCCTCGCCACGCGCCGCCAGTCAATGCTAGATAGAGTGGGCCGTGCTATGACTCGAGCGGCTTAAGACCACTTCCCCCGTGCAGTCTCAGCGCGTTCTTATTTGCTCGACTTTAATATTCAATACCTGAATTATTATTTCAAATATTGCAATGGTATGGAACTTTTTGTTCATCTCAATCTGTTCTACCTCCCCAAGATAACATTCACAGATAACTACGGGACACCATGTATAACAATTTTTAATAACATAGGTGGTATATCGTTCAGCGGTACAGCGCTTGAATGTTGGACGCAAACTGAAAACTCCTTAGAAAAGGCAAAGAAATTGAGTGCTTTGATGGGATGCCCTACAGTTAACTCCAGAGATATGATACGTTGCTTGAGATATCGTCCACCTCGCGAGATCGTCCAGGCTACAAGTCATTTTATGGTGAAGCTCATTTCTTTCTTTATTGCCTTGAAACGAAAACAACGAACGCAAGCCTCTAGAAAGAAGAAATTTGATTGATTTTGTAATTTCAGTCGTTCTTCTTTAATCCCTTCACTCCGTTCGGTCCGGTAGTTGAAAATTTTGGTGATGCACCTTTCATCGATAAAACGCCCATTGAAATCATCATTAACGGAGAAGTCCAGGACGTGCCCTGGATTACCGGTGTAACGAGCGAAGAAGGCCTCTATCCCGCAGCTGGTAAGATGATGCGCCTAATAATGATAACTGTCCAGCCTCTTAATAATACACAGACATGACCATACTATAACTTATCGTAGAATTTATCGCCAGTGATCGAAATCTTCAAGAATTGAATGACAATTGGGATATTCTTGCACCGGACTATCTTGATTTCAATTATACCATCCCTAGAGAGAAACATGTCGAGATTGCTCGTCTCATCAAAAAACATTATTTTGGTACAAGACCGATCGATCGACAGAGTACGAAGGAACTAATACAAATGTCGAGTGATCGTTTCTTCGTGGTCGATAGCGAGAAAGCTGTACGAATGCAAGCCACAGTAAATCGTAGTCCAGTCTGGTACTACTACTTTAGTTATAGAGGAGCGCAAAGCTTGAGCGATGCTATGAGCGGTACCACTACAAATTATGGTAAGTATGTATGAAATATCAATTCGTTCCTATTAAGTTTACAAATACTAAATTACGCATATACGCATATTTTAAAGAGTTAATTAAAAAATTAATTTTTTAATTTTATTAGGGGTTTCCCATGCCGACGATGTATTTTATGTGCTATGTAGTCCCTGGGTAAACTCAACAACAACACAAAGTGACCGTGATATGCAGAAACATTTACTGAACTTTTGGGTATCGTTTGCCACGGACGGGTAAGCATAAAATACCGGTACACCGCATATGAAATTGAATGTAAAATCTTATAACGCGAAAATACTAATTTTCCAAATTTTTCAGAATTCCAAAAATAGCCAATGTGAAATGGCCAAACTTATCGTTTTATAATACAAAGGAAGAACTTCATTATTTACATATTTCTAGCCCTTATGAAATTGATATGACTAGCAATGCTAATTTTGGAGAAAAAGAATTCTGGAGTTCAATTAATTTCCAAGAGAATATATTAAGCAGCACAACTGGAATAAAAAAAGAAGAGCTTTAAATGGTATCGGAACAAAAGATGGATGTTTTTTTAAATCAAGTTTATCTTGAGACTTAATATTTAATATTACTCAGTTTTATATGTATTATATTATACATAAATGTTATAGTATATTCTTGTAAACTGAGAAGAACATTTTTCTTTGTTCCCACTTTATAAAGATAATCAACTAATTTCTTGTACAATTATTAAAAAATACATTCCTACATTATTAATAAGAATTTCGCAGCTACTATTTTCTTGTCTTTCCCATATTTTGTCAGTCCCTTTCTTATAATTAGAGACATATATGTGGATCGGTGGTGGGATGGTGGTAAGAGTGAGTGAGAAGATTCGCATCTTCCCCCTTACATCACTTTATTAAATTCTACGCCATCTTTTTTTATTTAACCCAGAAAACACCAACTTACATAACATTAATATTGTAAATTCCCATTCAATAACATATAAATGTAATAGCACATATTGTACATACATACATAACAGTTATAATATTGTTGCGCCTCCCGCGCCTCCGCGCGCACAGACGCAGATCACTGTACAACCGCACAAACACAAATACCTTTCACACGTGCACATGCGAAATAAACCGACACAGAGAGTGCGAAGGAAAACCGAGATTTATTTCTCTGATCCACAGAAACATATCCATCTCGCCTTACAGCTCGACTCAATCTTACAATCAATATATAACAGCGTTTTTAAATAACTAGAACAACACAAGCGCGCGCGAAGCGCGCGCCATTGTTCTTCCACATTATATTAGAACGTTAAAATATTATATTGCGCACGCCAATTAACATTATTCTCTTCTTTTGAGTTTTCTATCATTTTTACTAAATTTCACTTTTAGTCACTATCACTATCATTTTCATTCATTCTATATCACGTTCCTTTTAAATAAATCTCAAAATCTGGCTTATTCAAAATTATTCTCTCTTATCCTGATAATTTTTATTTATTTAACTTTGTTTTTACTATACACTTTTATCTTCAACTATTCTTTTGCATTAGATCCCATCCTATCATTGTCCCACATTTTTTATAACATATCAAAAAGTCTAGCAGGTCTAGCTTATTCAATATAATTCTTTCTTATCTAGATAGGTTTTATTTATTTGATTTTATTTTTAATTTAAAGGAAAAAATCAACTATGTATATGTATATTTCTTTATACAGGGTGTATCTAATGGTCTGTATAAACTTTTGGAATAAGTTCCAGGGACCTAAACAAGTAGAAATGTCC